TCCAAGACAGACAGCCCAGGGCCACGTCGGCGATTTGCGTCCAACCAGCACCAGTGAGGACCAAGTAGGGTATTATATATATATAATGGTATTAAACTTGCAACACCAAATTGAGATGTGGAAAACTTCATCAGCCACTGGCTGACCTTTTGCCAGGCATGTTGAACCGCATTAGCACAGAGAACGCGCGGCTGATCTTGCCGCTGGAGCCCACACTGCGGGGAGCTGAAGGTGGGGATTGTCCACCTTGGTGGGCGGCCCGATGTGCCTTGGCCGCACAAATCCAATGATCAAATCGTCCTCGGAGGCTTTGGAGTGAGGCTTGAGCAGGTCTCAGATCAAACGATCAAATAGCCTTGGTCACAGCTTTGGAGGCTTGATGGTTGCTTTGGGCTGAGCAGGTCTCTGACTGAAAAGGGTAACCCCTCCCCTGAAAAAACGTCCAATGTCTTGAGCAAGGCCATGTGACGCTTAGCAATCTTGCTGATGTGAGAGTTCGCAGGAGGCATTCAGCGCAGCTAGCCCAACCAACAGCACAGGCTCAGGATCTAGAAGTCAAGCCAATTAGAAAAGGGTGCTGGCTTGTTGGCTGTATGCCTCACAAGATCTCACAAGAGATGTGATCAATGTTTGTTTACGAATTGTGAACAATCGTTAAAGTGGACCAGGTCAGGAAAAACACTCTTCCGAGGGTCCGAGGGTTTTTGTTCTTGATCACTGATCTAGCATCATAGAATATATACATGCCTTTCGTGAGAAAAGCTCCCCAAAGAAACAGGGTTTAATTTATTTCATCCCAGCTCGACCCATCACCCCCTGAGTGGAGAGTAGTAGTTCGGTTTCAAGATCACCTGCTGTTTCTCCCTCTTCGAGACTCAGCCACGTCCAGGTGCTGCTTTGATGCTGAATCACTACATCCAGGTGATCCACACCAGCAGATGCGCACGCGGGCTGGCCATGAGGAGTACTGACAATGTCCTCCCGGAGTATTTGGATGCCGCTGCACGGCGGAGATTAAGACATATATATTAAGGCGAGGCCTCTCAAACACGAGGCTTTCCTGGACAAAAGTTGCTTTCCTCGTTTTGCCTGTGCGCCGCTCTTGGGGCTCAAAGCCCATGGTGAGGGCCCTATCCCCTACAAAACTTATGGCGACTAAACGGCATAGGGATGGTAGGGTTCCAAGGGATCTTGGCGACCCTGCACCCTACTAATCTTATGGCGACGAACTGGAGTAGGGATGTGCAGTGTGAGAATGAAGTAGTGAAATTGTCCGCATCCCTACACTTGTAAGGCGAAAGAGCCAATCTCATGAGTCTTTATTGTGCTGAATGTTGACTATTTTGGCATCAGTCCATTCATTCTGTGGCTATGCGACTTGACAGCTCCCAATAACAGAACGAGCTTTTAAAATTGGTCACCATGTGCTGGTGCCAGGTGCACAGACTTTGCTCCACACCCACACCGTGGCCCACACCTGGCCCCAGCCGAGGTTGCACCTTTGTTGGCCAGAAGCCCCAGGCTTGTGACGGCATTGGTTGCATGGGTGGCGAGGCTGCTGAAATGGCCACTGGGCTTTGTTTCATGGATGAGTTGGGGGCCCTACCCTGAAGAACCTTGAAGATATGAGCTACCCTGAAGATGTAAGGGTGGCCCTGACATGCCGAGACACGTCTGATACACACAATGACTTGTAGTTACGTGTATCAAGTCCGAACATGCTCATCCTCATGCCTCTCCTTGTCCGAGTTCCATGTGATCACCATTTGCCGCATCAATCCTTTCATCTCCCAAAGCTCTGGAGCAACGCAAAACGGGCGAAAACCGATGAAAACGGCGCCCTCGCTCAGGTATGACCTTTGCTGGCCGACCACGCGCTTGCTGCTGTTGGCCGCTAAGGAGCCACGCGAGAAGCATCAGCTGCCAAGCCATGCCTTGGGACGTTTGCCCAGCGAGGCGCCTTCAGGGTGGAGACACAGCCGGGTTGATCAGACGCAGTCCGGTGTGAACGTGCATGGCAACGACCTTGAAAAGGGATGAACCATGGAGTCCGAAAGTCTTCGGAATATGGCAGAGGAGAACCTATGACATCCTATATAATATTCAGAATCCATCTAACCCACGGACAGAGGATCGTTACATGATGTTACATGTTGATATTGTTTGTTTTTCCTACTACGCATTTCATCAGTGTGACCCATCGCCCGCCGAACCCCTAACCAACTGAGTACCCACCTGGTGCTACTCTATAAATTATATGTTCAACCGGGGGGGTATGTAAAATAGAACATATACGCCCGTGAATTGTATGTAGACAGCGCTTTGCCAAGGGGATGAAACACCGTAACGTCACTCGTATAGGATCGCCAGCGGGTCCATTGGAGGAGAGAAACGGCATGTGTTCATCTCCCTACTGAGAACACCAACAAAAAGTCTACCTTACCATCAATTTGACGGAATATGCGATCCAAAAATCCGAATGATTGAGGTCATCAAGGGCCGGATCCTAAGCTTCCTCATGCCCCCCACGCTCCCGGCCTCCGCTTCTTCCACGGACCTGGGTGTGCCCATGGCCCTTTGCAGCTGTTGGAGTGATCCGGATGGCCAGAAGGACCGACGTGCACGCATGGAGGTGGCCGAAAGGCGGAGGAAGGCAGTGTTTTGGGGTTTGGTTCCCTTGGGCTCACCAGAGAGCCACTCAGGTGGGTAGAAACATGTAGAAACCAAACACCCCCCAATATGTGCTTTCTGGCTGTGCAGGTTCCTTGTTTGAGGCAGATTGGTCGGCAAGCCGCAGTGATCAGCCAAAAACAAGACCATACTTGAAATATCTTGAAATAGCAACAGTAATCGCTATTAGGTTGGAGGCAATTTCTTATTATTAATTGATCAACGTGAATCATGGAGTCTCTCAGACTGTTGAGCAGCCCAGTTTATTTGCTTGGAAGGACGTGGTGGCTGTACTTGCACACCTTTTGCTTTTCACTCCAGCCATTGCTTTTCCGCGTTTGTCTGCCTGTGCCTGACCTGAACAATGAAATATGTGCGTGCAAGTGGCAAATGTGTCCTGTCAAAACTCTTTTCATGTTGCATGTGGTGTTGGATTTCCACTGCATTCCTTGAGGGTGGCAAGCCGGCGCGGCATGGCATTTCATACATCAGTTATTTCACGATATGTCGTCTCTAGGCTGGCGGGCGCACCCGTTCCAAAACCATGCCAAGCTATGACCAAGATGTTTCCTGCGGTCCCTTTTCACATGAGAGTGTCCGAAAACCATGTTTGCGTTTTTGCTAAATGAGGTTGCAAGGGCAAGTCAAATTTGATTCTGTTCACGATGATAGATGCGCAAAGGAAAAGCGGCAGCAGAAGCTTTGTCAAAGGACAACCGTGGCCATAGCATCATAGAATGCAAAACAGAGAAAGCTCGTTCCACTATCAGAAATACACGCGGCAACACCCAGACAGAAACACGGAAGGTGCGCGAGATAAATAACATATTCGTTCGGCATTACTATATACTAACTGGTAACAAGGGCATCGCTACTAGAAAACATTTCGCCCATGTTCGTGGCACTCAGGTGCATTAGCCATGGCCGAAGCAGCCTTGCACGACGATGGCTCCGACGAGCGCATCTATTTGGCCGCTGCCGTGGTGGTCTCCGTGTCGCAGCGCCTGCAGAAGTCGCTGAATGGGACACCGGTGCGGAGTGATTTCGAGGACCCCCAAACGGTGCCGTTGGCGCTGGTGTTGGAGCAGCATGCCCAGCAAGACTTGGAGTGTGTGATGCAGCTGGAGCATGACTTGTCCTCCGCCGCGGCCACAGCAAGGGCAGAAGGAAAAATATCTTTCTTTGTGGCTTTGGCATCACTTTAGGACGGACGACCTAACCTCAAAGTTGAGGGAACTAACTGTTTAACAACTGTTCAACATTGGAAGTTTATTCTCCTCTCATTGCTCCAGCCCATCGCCCCGGCCTGCGATCGAAATAGACGGCATCGGCCAAGGTATATTCTCGGGTTTTGGAAGCTTCTGAGCACGTGAATCGTGCCAAGGAGCACTGCAAGCGCCTTTTTGTCCCTTCCACGTGAGTCCTGCACTGGCTCACCAACTCGCATCTGCATGAGTCAAAAGTGCACCGTGATGCGGCATGTTTTCATCCGGCATATGTCATTGATACTTGAAACGCCAAGTGATCGAGGGCAAAAATTGCCAAACATTCCCAACAGGCTAGATTTTTGGATAGAGTCATTATGGCATTGAAGATCAATGAAGGCCCTCAGCAGCTCTCATGTCTTTCCTGCGGCCCATAAAGACACATGGACCACGGTGGGGCACGCCATTCGCAAGCCAAGGTGAACTGTCAGGTGTCTTGGGGCCGCAGCTGGTGCGCAAGACAGGCGCGATGAGATATCAGGAGGGTGTGCAGGGGTCGTCGGAGATCGTCCTAGAATCTAGGATCATGGAAGCACTCTTCGTTTCACTAAAATTCCACTTCCATGGTAGTGAGTCGGAGAGTATATAATTAAGTATAATTAATGCTAGCCTCGGAGTAGATGTCTCAGCCATTCAAAAACAGAGAGGGAGGTGCAGTTGAACAGTTGAGTAGTCTCAAACAAGAGGGCTTCGTTCCGTTTACCTTGGATCCTCCTGAATGGGGTTTGTCTCAAGATCGGGATTTTTGGAGCGGGAGTGCCCTTTAAGACACGCCCAAGCATTCCATGGGCCACCTCAACAGTTTTTTTCACACACTCCACCATTTTTGAGTGCAACGGGTGCAGCTGCCAATCAAGAACATGTGACACATGTCGATTCTGGGATTCATGTTGACCTACTCGTCTACTATGTAATACTGTGTGTGTCTGTGTGTTTTTGGCGGGGTAATAGACACATCACACCACAGCACCATGTTGAGACAAGGGTTCTTATTTTCACCTAAAGCCAGGTAGACTCTAGACTCCAGACGGGAATCAAAAGGTGAAATCCGAGTGCGAGATGAATTCGAAGGGCCACAGGATGCCACAAGGGTTTGAGACCGTTTCAGTCCAGATAGCACTACATAGCTGATGGCCCAGTGTCCTTGAGGGTGTGACATCTCCAAAGCGGCCATGACCGGGCTCATCCGGGCTCAAGCCGGAAGCCATCGCTCCGGGCGATGATTCCGAGCTGGGCAGCGAGCGCGGCCGGCTATGGGACGAGTCCCAAAATCTCGGTGGAGTTGACCAACAACGAGGGCCACTGGGCCGGAAGCCTCCGAGTGAACCAAGGATTTTCGAACAGAAGGTTGTTGGATTGTTAATACTTTTCCCGAATGCGTAGCGAAGGGTTCTCGTTTAACTTGGGAGTCTGAGGGTAGAGCTGTGTTTGCCCGACGTTGTTTTCGAGTTCGCAACCGTCCGCAACAGTTTGCAACCGTCCGCAACCGTGCGCAACCGTCCGCAACCGTTTGCAACCGTCCGTATGATGTCTCTATGGCCCTGCCATTTAGGGAAGCTTTTGCAAGTGACTTTTCATGGATGTGTCACGTGTCAGTTTGCGCCGCTATTACATTGTGATTTGCATGAAAATGACATGTCGCGCAAGAAACGTGATGCATTTCGCTGCGCAGGCGCAGGGCTTCGTGAAAGTGACACGTTTGTGTCGGTATTCCTTTGGGATTAGCGTGTGGGGAGTCGTGTTTTTGGGGTGTTGGATGTGGCCGTGCCTTTGGGGTTTGCGTTTCAGGGTGTGGCATCGAAGCGCTGTTTTCGTGACAAGTCTCAGCGGAAATGGTGATTTTGGTGGATGGGAGTGTGCTCAGAATGGGCCGAAATCATTCCAAACGTGTGGTGTGGTGCAAATTTTGTTGAAGCTCACATGAGATGATATTGTCACTTTTCGTGGCAGGCGCGCTACTTTGTGCGGGTTTTGAGGTGTGGAAGTGCGATTTTCGTGACAGGCGCAGGGAATCGTGAGGTTGCGATGTGTGATGGAGGTGACATGTCATGGCAGGCGCAGGACGTTGTGCGCGTTAGACGTGTGGACGCGGAAAGATTCGTGGCAGGCGCAGGGAATCGTGAGGTTGTGAGTTGTGGTAGAGGTGAATGTCGCTGTGACATTGGGATTGGCGTGTGAGCGGGTGTTGCTTGGAGGGGCTGGAATCGCGAAACTGCTTGGAAGGGCTGCGCGATGGGTGTGCTCCGATGGGTGTTTCCGCTTGACTTTGGGAGGAAGTCTCGAACGAAACGCTCGTTTTGCAGACTTTGACATGTGAGTTTTTGAGGAAGTCTCGTACGAAACACTCGCTTTGGAGCGACGTGTGGCTCTTGGAGGAAGTCTCGTACGAAACGCTCGTTTTGGAGACTTGACGTGTGACTTTTGGAGGAAGTCTCGTACGAAACGCTCGTTTTGGAGACTTGACGTGTGACTTTTGGACGTGTGACTTTTGGAGGAAGTCTCGTACGAGACGCTCGTTTTGGAGACTTGACGCGTGACTTTTGGAGGAAGTCTCGTACGAAACGCAGAGTGTCAAGCAAAGAGTGTCAAGAAAGCAAAGAGTGTCAAGAAAGAGTGTCACTGTCCAGCAAGAATGTCTAGCAAAGAGTGTCCAGCAAGAGTGTCCAGCAAAGAGTGTCAGGCAAGAGTGTCAAGAAAGATTGTCTAGCAAAGAGTGTCAAGAGAGAGTGTCAAGCAAGAGTGTCCAGCAAGAGTGTCTAGCAGAGTGTCAAGCAAGAGTGTCCAGCAAGAGTGTCAAGCAAGAGTGTCAAGCAAGAGTGTCAAGAGAAAGTGTCAAGAAAGATTGTCTAGCAAAGGGTGTCAAGAAAGAGTGTCAAGCAAGAGTGAGCAAGAGTGTCAAGCAAGAGTGCCCAGCAAGAGTGTCAAGAAAGAGTGTCCAGAAAGAGTGTCTAGCAAAAAGTGTCAAGAAAGAGTGTCAGTGGCAAGCGGGAGTGTAAAGTAAGAGTGTC